CTGGTAGCTCAGGGGGCCATGGCGGAGCAGGCAGTTCAGGTTGCCCCCCCAAATTTTCTTGGGGAAAACTAGGAATTCTGGGGGGTGCTCTGGAGAAGTGGAGTTCGCCAACACAGGAGGCTCAGGAGATGAAAGAGGGCTGGACGGGACCAGCGGAGGCAAAGGAGACTCAGGAGCCAAAGGAGAGCTTTCTGGAGCAGACTCAGGCGACAGGATAGGAGCCGAGAACTCTGGCGGAAGCGCCAAATCCAGGAGCGCTGGTGCCTCATTTTCTGGGCTGAGGGCTGGAATGGATCTTGGATGGGATCCGGAAGGCACGGGTGGAACGAAGGGAGCGGGCTCATTGGAGCAGTATGTGGAGGGTGCTGGTTTGTGGTGAGCTGGAGCGCCCACATGCTTCCAGATGGGATCTGGACAATTATCGTCCACAAAGAGATTGAAGTCATTCAAATAAAGGACATAATTTATAAAGTCTGTTACGGGTCTATAACAATCGCCAGGAGACAGAAATCGGAACAAATGATCATCGTCAAGTCCCTGCCGGAAGCAAGCATTAAGCATATGATCGCTCCAGCTCACCAGATGATAAACACTCAGGAACTCCTCCACATACCGTTCCAATGGCCTTCCCTCCTGCTGGATGTTCAGAAGTAAATCCTCAGCCCAGTCCATCCTTTTAGAGTCCTGTCTTCTGTCAGGGGTTGCCAGGCGAAGGAGCTTGAAGGAGTACGAAGGAGGCAAATATCAAATACACAGAGTCCTTTAATAAATACACTTGGGAAAAATCAGGAGAAAACAACCTCTTTACATGATGGAGACAGTACAAACAAACTGAGAAAAGGCAGGGCTATATACACTAAACCAAACGATGGACTAATAAGATAATTAATGCAACACAGGTGGAAACTAACGAATGCTGATTAACTAAATGAGAACAGGAACTGAACCAAATAAGGGCAGACAGGAACTAAACAGAAACAAACACGCGACAATTATATTATATATTATATTATATTATAAAAGTCATTCCTGATATACCTGATAATATAATATAATCATTCCTGATATAATATAATATAATAATAACTATAACTTTTTTATTAATTTATGTGATTCATCTGATTAATTTATTACCATATTATTTCAGTAATTTATATAATTTTTCAAGTGTTTTCAAGTGTCTTCGAGTGTTTATTTTTTGGCAAATTGCATGAAAAAGAATGGGGTTCAATTTGACCCCTAAAACATCCTAAATGAGAACAACATGATCATCACAAAAATTCAAGAAGAAATAAAGAGTTTACCCAGTGTTTCAAGTAGTTTGAATATCGAATGAGTGTCAAGTTAACCCCAACACAATGGAGGGTCCTAAAGTGTCTTGAATAATTGCCCAGAATAATTATATTGTGTGTATTCTACTGTATTTCTATTCAGCTGTGTACACTCACCTGGTATGGCTGTGGAGGGTCCCAGTGAGTCCAGTCATAGGTGACAGAATCTAGTGTTTTTGTGACATGTTTGGCCCATGGAGAGATCCGAAACAGACATTCGCCTGTTTTAGTCAGGACCACAAGCTACAGACAGAAACGACAAATGTGACATCTTGAAATTTTCATGCTAAAGTTTTTGATGCAAAACAGAAACATACAGTAAATATACATATACATAAAAGATATATATTTTTATTACACAGCCGTTCAAAGGATTAGGATCAAATCCGTGTATCATTCGATCATTTGTTTTTTGATTTAATATTGA